TATTAGTGGAACAAACAGGAGTATTTGCAGTTGGTATGGAGACACAAACACACGCACACTAAACAACTGTCCCCTATATTGTTTAAAGGAACATGTTGTAATTTTATCTTAAAATAAAAGCTTCAAAATAATTTTGATGGTACACTGACTTGTAACGGATAATGGTGTCTCTGTCATTGCCACTCCGGGCCCAGCGCATGCTATTAGACTATGTAACATTGTAATCAAAGGCAGGATACCTATTGTGTGGATGGCATAATGCTTTGCGACACCATGTCACACACCAACAAGACTCTCCAGCAAGCGAGGTATAAGAAGATGCTAGCTTGGTATTCTCAGTATGGATATTATGGCAGAGGCTGCAAAGAGACCGAAGAAGATGAGGGCTTTTACTCGTTGGCATGAGCTAAAAGAGCTGACAGGATGAAGGACAAACACAGTCCTGCCTTGGCACTAATTTGCTTTATTAGGGTTTGTGTGGGTTTGGTTTTGATCAGATTTGATTGATAGTGACCAAGCAAAAAAAAATCCCTGAACTGTCATCATGTTTTTAACCAAACGTTGCTATATATTCATTGGTGGAAAGAAATATGCAACATTACCTTTTTTCCATCTGAGCACAGCCCACAAACCAGTGAGTAGAGCACAGTGAGAAACATAAACACAGGAAACTCTCATGTGAAAAAAACTGAACTGTTTAAACTGTTCATGTTCAGTAAGAAGCTAACTGAGAAAATACATTTTCAGTGCGTTGAAGGTCTGAAACATTAATTAAAGGTTTAGTGTGTAAGTTTTAGTGGAGTCTGGGGTGAGGGTTGCAAATTACAATCAGTGGCTCACAACATATTCACATGCTCCTCAGATGGTCCAATTTCATGAGTTCTGACTTCAGTGTGTGTTCATTGCTCTTAAGTGCTCTTAAGTCGGAATGTGGAATCAACATGGACGCTACTAAAAGTTGGATTAACATTATAAGAGCATATAAACAACACGCAGACATCCTGTTCACTCCACATGCATAAATTACTAACCGTTATAACCACATTACATGTTAGCAAAATATGTATATGCAATACGTGATTTTGCACGAATCAAAGTTCTGTATACTTCTTTATGTCCTATGTACACTTCATTTCTCTTTTTGGAATAAAGATTTAAGGAGGAAAAAAATATTCAGATTATTCTGACACCATATGCACCGTTCCCCCCTCACTTCCCAAGCGCGCAGGAGAAGCTACGATGGACTGACACCCTCTGTCGACTCTTCTAAATAATACATGTGGGCCTCAATTTGTCCAAATTTCTCTTCTTTTCTTAATTAACCAGTCGACAACTACTACGAGTAATACTTATGTTACTTCTTATTTTTCTTCTTATTTTTCGTACGTAGTGAACGTAGTGACGAAACGCCAGTGTTGGGCAAGCTACTTGGAAAATGTAGTGAGCTAAGCTACCAGCTACTCTACATTAAATGAAGCTTCACAACACAGAAGCTACCCCCCAGTGAAATGTAGCAAGCTAAGCTACAGCAACGTGGAAAAAGTAGCTTAGTTACATCTAAGCTACCATATATATATATACACACACACACACACACACACACACACACACAGCATAGGCCTAGTTTATATTGAACTAACTTCATTCCACTGTAGCAATAGAAGAAAGACTAAAAACCTGCTCCAAACGTGTGTGTGTGTGCAGAGAGAGCTAAATCAGACACACAGAACTCTCCTACTTACTGCCATATCATTGCAGCTAAATGTATTTCCTCATGCAACAAACGCAGAACCATTGTTGTTTGTATAAAGTTACTTAATTATCACATTATTATCATTAATATTGTTTGCTATTTTAATAATTGTTTCTTTGAAACAGCTTGTCAAAAAGCAAGATATATTTTTTATGTAACAAAGGCCTAGCTGATGTTTTTGTTGTTGTTATTCCTCTTTCTTTAGTTTTTATAATGTCATTTAATTGTTAATTAATTATATTTTTTTGTGAATTTATGCTCTGTCAACATTGCAACCTAAACAACCTAAACATTCATGGCAATAGGAGAGAGAGAGTTTCCTCCTCACTAGAGGAAGAGCTGTCCAGGCTGGACCCTGATCCTTCTCAAGAGCTGTTACAGTAACTATCACAACAGAAAGTAAACTCAGCGCGAGTGTCTTTATTCCCCTGCAGCAAAGTCGCAGACATCAGCCCAAGGATCAGTACATGATGTCACTCACTGATCCTTCAGAAATGCTTGGGAAAATGTAGCGTGTGTGGAAGATACAGCGCTACTCGGTCAATAAAAGAGCTTTGTTACTGAAAAGCTATTTGATTCAGAATAGCAAATAGCGACACTACCACCAAGCTACTGAGAAATATAGTTAAGCTAGTAATGCCACTACTTGTAGCGACGCTGCTGCCCAACACTGCAAAACGCGCTCTGTAAAGCAGTTAGTCCATTCGGGCTACTGTAGAAACATGGCGGCGCAATATGGCGACGTCCATGTAAGAGGACCTGGGGTGTATCTAGATAGAAATGGCTCATTCTAAGGTAATAAAAACTGTTCATTATGTAAGGTCTTTATACACCACTGAAAACAAGCAGGCTTGGAAGTTCAGTGGTTTAAACCACAGACAGGCAGAATAAACCCGTCTGGGGCACTTTCCTTTCCCTCATTACAGACACTTCTGCCCTTTCCCATGAGCAGCTCCCAGGGGTGAATGAGTAAGAGAAATGTGATTGTAAGCATGGAATTTATTTAAAAAAAATAGAGGTGGAAGCCCTGAAAATGTAACTACAGGTATTTTGACTAAAATATCTGGCAGGATGGTGCATCTCTAAAACGCTGTCCAATAATGAAGCTACATGCAAATACAGGTGCATTTTGTTTACAAGCTTCTTTTTTTTTGTCGCTAAAAACTGGTCAGTGTGATGAACCGCAGACAGAAAATACAACAATGCAAGTCGACATTTCCAGTCAGATTCATGGAGGGGAAAAGGAAGACTTGGAAATGAAGCCTGCAAACTGTTTACCTTGGACTCATTCAATCTAAACACCTCACTAAACACCTCACCACCTCTCCTCTATGTCTCTCTCCCTCTCCTCAGTGTTGTACAGTACAGGGGTCGGACGGCGGCTCTGGAAATCCCATAAAAGCGTGTGTCAGCGAGACAGAATGAGACAGACTCTTTATCACTGTGCCTAGAGCTGCAGTGTATATACAAACACACACAAACAAACACATACTGTACCCCAAGCCGGGCCCTACGTCTTGACTCAACACCATAAACCCGCCGTCCCATCATGCTTGGCAGCAGCATCAGCGGTGAGGAAGCCTGACGTGATGACATGATGTGTGACATCACTCACACAACACACACACTTTAAATTAGCAGACTGGCAGTGTGACAAGAGACGAGTGTTTATGTGTGAGGAGACAGACAGAACCGCATTGGATGTTGGATTTGTAAACACACACACACCTGCAGGGGGCTATAAATGGTGTCTGTAATTATGTACACACACAAATCACACACTCACACTGTACGGTTTAATTCCGCGAAACTGAGCTTGCTCACATCAAGACAAACACACACACACACACACACACACACACACACACAGTGACAGAGCCGCCCAAGGCCTGTCTGACAGCACAGTTTAGTGGTCTCATTAGCAGCGGGTGGAATGCCAACAGATAATTAACCAGGAGAGATGAAGAGAGAGAGGGAGGGCGAGTGTCAGCAGTAAAATACATAAGAGAAAGAGAAATGTTCTTTATGGGATGGATGAAGTGAAAAGAGGGTAAAACCAGAGGGGAAGGAAGCTGGCATTGTCTTGTCTGCCGGTTCAAACCCAGGACCCTTCAAACACTTTCACCAACCAGCTGAGCTCAAGAATTACACCGTCCTCTGTACCAGGGAGGAATGCAATAATGTACAGAAGAATGGGGAAACCCATGTTTAAGGACGATGTGTTCTTTAGAATAAAGACTGGTGGTCAGAAACATTACCAAAACCAACAACGTGTTCCTTCTCTAAACACTTTCTCACTTCCCTACTCTGTCTGTAGTGCTCAGCTCCAAGCCCATTGGTTCCTACTGAAAGATGAATCTTTAAAAACACCTCACAAATACGTGGTTTCATTTTTTAAAAAGGCTCAGCGGTTTTCTGGTCAGCTGCTCACTGTAGTTTTTAAAGAAAGGTTAGACACACACAATACTTGTGAGTAGATACATTCATTGTTGGTTTGCCCTTTTCATGAGATTTGTTTCCCATAAGAAACACAGATTATATCAACAGCCTCGTGTTGATAGCTAAAGCAACATGTACGTACGTAACCCCGTTAATTCGCATACATCACTGTAAACAGTTTGTAGTTGAAAAAACAGTCCTTGTGAAAAACCACTGGCTTCTTTTTTCGTTTGCCTTATGTAATATGGGACCCTTTAAAACTCTGTTTAAGCAAAATTATTCTGCAGCTGTTTGTGTTAAAACGCTTCTGGGGAATTTGTGTTGTTGAAATAATGACTCACCGAAGTAAGATAAGAAGTATACCATTTAGTTATGGTATTGGTAGTGAAACTCAGGTAATACATTGTTACCGGTACTGAAAAACTTTAAATCACACCCAGTTTTAATAACTAAGGAAGGTTACATTTTCAATTTCATTTTCATCTTCACCTTGTGAAGAGAAAGTGAACGAAACTGAGGTTAAGCTGACAGCATTATGGACACAAATATTTCAAATGAGAAATAAGTTTACCTGTAATGTAAAAACAGTTTAATATTAAATATGCAGGGTTTTTTTTAGTGCACATAGTGATTCGGGACAGTCCGCAAACCTGACCTTTGAAGCCTTACTGCTCTCAGGGTAGTGATTTGAAATGTGTTTATTGTGCAGTTTTTGTCTTCATAATAAATAACTAGATTCTCTGAAAATTAAATATTTGAATCAACTCACTTTTATTTTAAACCATTAGGGAGAACAGTGTCAGCTGAATGCTTTAAGAAATGTTTTATTTCAGTATGAACAGATGTACACAATGTGGAAAAAATAACAACAACAAAAAAGTATGATTAATTAATTATGGTCTCAACATCCAGTAAAGTAATGCGATCTGGGAAGCTGTCAACTAAAGTCATTTGTATATGCTTTAGTCAGTTTTGTTTGTGTCCAAGAACCACAATTTTACAATGAAAGCATATGTAGGACGTGTCAAACAACTGTGGCTCCCAACAGCCTGGAGACTTAATGCTAATGCGGCCTCATTATCTAAGCTAAGTTCTTAAAATTAAACAAAACCAGATGCTCAATTAAGTTTGGCAGCAGACAAAGAGGCTCGGGCCAAATCTGACAAAACAGACAGTAAAACAGCTAAACTCTGTTGTACTGATGGAGAGAAATCAACACCTGTTACTGAAAACTTATGTGCAGTTTTTTTTTTATTCATGACATTTGAACCAAATGCTTTGGCCTCATTAATAGTTTGTTCACTCTCAAAAGATATCCTGTGAAAATCCAATATCTCCGTCGATCTTCTGCAAAGATAGTAAGACAACAAAACAAGTGCAGACTTGTTCTCAGCTTAAACACAAATGTTGTTTTTATTAGCACATCCTTCAGCATTTGTTTTTGACAGTTGTAGAATCCCATCACCCAAAGAGTAGGATGTAACCATTAAAGGCTAATTCAAGTTTATTTCAACTATTAAAATCAGACCAAACTCGTATGAAACTGGAATTTCTCTTAAAAGGGAAGATGAAAAATGAAAATAAACATTAATTACACGTTTTTTGAGTCAAGTACCAGGTGATGATACTTGTTGCTTGTTAAGTTGCTTTTTCTAATAATTCAAAATTAGATGTTTATCTCAACAGTGGCACCAGACACTCAGTCCGAACCAGACCAGAAGTGTGCTGGGAACAGTGCGAGCAAGCACATGCGTCAAGTCAATGCCCTCAGAGCTCCAAAACAGCTCGTCTTCATCTCATTCCAGCTCACTTTGTCAACTGAAGTCAAGTCTTAATGCAAGAGACCTAACCAACAGAAAATCCTCTGAAAGAAGTCAAAAACAGACCACCAGGAGTTCCTGATGGTCCTGAGTTTTTGTAGATGATTATGTTTGCAGGCTGTGATGTAAACTCAGAGTAACTTTGTGAGTCCAGACGTTATTTGCAGGGAGGACGATGAGGAGGACGATGAACGTGTTAACTAAGGCAACTTCAGCAGGACTGGATACGCCTCTCCCCAAATCCCAAACAATCCTTTCTCTCTGTACAGGACAGTCTTTGTCTTGGAATGGAAAAAAAGAAAGATGTATGGCAGGATGAAAAAACGAGGGATCCGTTCACCTCCTCTCCTCGCCTGGAGATGATTGTTAGCTCGGAGAGGAGTAGAAGAGAGGAGAAGGAGATGTGAGATAGAAAAAGGGAGAGATCCTTTGCTCATTTAACCAGCTCCTCACCTGAAGAATTGTCTTTCCTTTCAGGGGCAGAGGAGGAAGAGAAGATCTTTTCATTCTCACCTCATATAAACAAGTTTTCTGAGGGGGAAAGAGGAGGAGTAGTAGTAGTAGTAGTAGTAGTAGTATTGGTGGCGGGAGGATTAGAAATATCAATTAACAAGATGAAAAAGGAGCTTTGTTAAATACCTCCTTCACATCCTTTGTTCATCATTGACAAGATTGTAAACTCCTTCTCGTTAAAGAGTCTGTTAGTTCAGAGTTTCCAACGTTTAGCGCTTCCATCACCCAGTTACCCAGCCGGCCGGCTGGTCGGCTGGCTGGTCGGTCGGTTGTCACAGTGACAGTGAGGAGTGGTAGGCGTGGCCTCAGTCGGTTGGGGTTGGAATGACGCAGATGTGCAGGAAGTTGTCAGGGTGGCTGAGATGTTCGCTGAGCCACTGAAGAGGAGTCTCCAGCAGCGGTTCGATACCGTGGATCACCACCTGGTAACGCTTCTGCTCACCTGGATGAAGACAAGGGCAATTCAGTTTATTAATTTAAAAAAATAGCTAGTACAATCTTTTAATTCATCTCTCTCATCTCACATTTACTGGAAGGCCGACTTCAGATTTAAACAGTAATTATGTTGTACTATGTTTTTTTGTTTTCTGTATTTTTATATTTTCCTCTTTATGTTAGTATATTTTAAAAGTTTCTCTCTGTTTTACTTTGAAGCAATTTGCTTGGTTATTTTATTTATATATGTGGAAGTGGAAAAAAGAAGAAAAATGGAAGAGAAGAAGGGGTTGAGGAGAGTAAAAAGACAGATTTCATCAGAGAAATGAAAAGGTTTGGAGAGATAGTGATCCATGGAGGTGGACATAAGAAGAAAAAGACAAGAGGATAAAAGTAGAAGACAGAAAACAATGATGAAAGTAAAAGAAAGGTTGAAGAGGAAATAAGAACAAAAAGGAGAAGAGAGAGATGGAGAAAATTAAGACTGGTAAAGAAATTAAGAGTAGAGAGTAGAGGAGGAAATGAGTAAGTTCAAAAGCAGCGGAGGGAAGGAAAGGAAATAAGAAACAGGGTGAAAGGTGATAACATGTCACAGGAAAAGAGGAAAATAGTTGAAAGGGAAGCTGAAGGAGAAAAATGAAGAAAGGCTGCAGGTGAAAGAAAGAAAGAAGAAAGAGATGATAAAAAGGTAAAGATAAAGGGAGCAATGGTGGAGAGAAAAGAGGAAAAGAGATGGTTACATGAGGTGAGAGAGACCACATCAGACACTACAGTAATACCACTGGTGTGGTGAGTGAGAGAGAGGGGGAGAGAAAGTGTCAGTGTGTGTTCAGTTATGAAGGAGAGTAAAGCGGCAGTTGATTGTTTTTGTGTTATGTCGTTGACAGGATTCGATTATTTAACTTTCACTCTAACAGTTTGAGGTTTCAGTGTGCGTGTGTGTGTGTGTGTGTGTCTAGCTATGACGGCCTCCTGTTGCTGACCCCGCCCACTGCTGAAAGGCCACGACCGCAAATCGTCCGTTACGAGCAGTGACTTTACCAACCATCAGACTTCTGATGATTCAGTGACATTCGGGGAGCCTCAGAGTTCGAGCTTACATTTTCACTTATAATCAGGACTTTTATTTTTTACTTTTACATAAAACCTGTGTAACAAATGGTGTGTAAAGTCACACAGACATGAGCATTTACCAGGCAGGAAGAGACAAATGAAAGACACTACATAGTTGCATTGTGGGAAATGTAGGAGAACATTTGAACACTGTCTTTTATTTCTTCAAAATAGAAACATAGAACAAGGAACTACAAGAAACCACAGCATATTTAAGACCTTTAAAATTACATTTGACAATAAAATGCTACTGTAATCTGCAGCAAGGCTTTCAATTAAGATGGACACTGATTTTTAACATATTTTCAAAAATCATATTTATTTAAATGGTTGATATCTCTGAAACAGATAATGTTATTTAGAGCTCCCTGAAATTGCTGAAGTATCTCATGCTCAAATTGACATTAAAGCTTGACAGCTCTTTAACAGCAGAGTTCATGATCATTTCAGGACTTAAAAACAGAGTTTAAGCACGCGTACAGGTTATTAACATGTTCTATTAAGCGCTTTAGATGATAATTCCTACTTACATTTCCCTTCTTAAATTCAACAAAAAATACTTAAAATGCCAATTTTATGAGCAATTTAATGTAGTCTGGATTCATTCAGTCATTTGTTTTGTTTATTCTCTTTTTTTATGTGAGGTCAAGTGGTTGCACTTGTTTCTAATGCAAATCTGTCAAGCAAAACTGATAGTCTCAAGTGATTTGTTTACATTTTACTTTGACTTCACCAGAAACCAGTCAAACCTTGCTCACCTGTTTAAAGACAAATAAGAATTTAATTTCACATCCAGGCTGGTTCATGTTTCGAGACAAATATTTTTGAAGCGAACAGGCCGGAAGGTGACAAATGTTTTGCTCAGCTGTAAAACAAAAACTATTCGTTTAACATAGTTCTTAAACAGTTAATGCAGCTGTCTTCAGTTTGGTTGGTTTTGGAGATGGATATTTTAATTTATGCTTTAAATTTAGTTTAAAATCTATATATTGTTTGTTAATTAATTTTCAGTATTTTTATATTTAGCATTTCAGCTTCTGTCTAATTGTGACAATTCTCCTATACAATCAACAACTGTATACAAACAGGATGTTCTGTGTGTGCGTGAGAAAGACAGACAGTGGTGGGCCTTTTCCCGTCTATCACACACATTCTCACACACACACACACACAGGTTGTCCTCATTCACCACTGGTACATGACATTGTGGCTCCACGTAATATCAGGAGGACGGTTGAGACAGAGCGTTAACTGACGGTCTGAGAAGCAGCTCCACCCTACACCTGCTTACTGGCTGGCAGAGAGGAACATGCACGAAACTAATGTCAGGAAACAATGTGCTCAGCAAAGGTTTTCTTCTGAACATTACAGATGTGCACATGAAGGTCAAAGGTGGGAGTAAGGGGCGCCTCTGCTGGTGGAGTAAAATAATGAAATCAATTATTGGTATTTATAACAGAGTGACAGTTTTCAGATCGCTAGAATCTGCTAGGCCGCTAGAGTCCAAAGCAAACCAGTTATATTTAACAGTTAAATTGATATTTCAATGAACTAGGGTAGAGGTAGATCACAGACAAAGTAAAATGTAGGGCATATATCCTCTGCAGAAAAAAATGAAATTAAAATAATATTTTACAAACTAATTTAAATTAAGTTTGGTGACTGAAGGGAGTTTGGTGAAGAGTGTAATCATTTATGTTGCTGAATTAAAAATAAACAGTGACTGTGATTTTTAGCAGCTGTGGTTATTTTTTAGGGTCACTAGAGCAACGTACAACAGTGGTGGAAGAAGTATTCAAATCAGACTTAATTGAAATTTTGAATGCTTACTTTACTATGTAAACTTTACTATGTTACTTTTATATGTAATGCAGTATTTTAATACTTTAATGCTACTTTTGCTTTGGTAAAAGTACAAAGTATCAACAACTATCATCATATCAGGATAATATTTTATAAACTTATATATTTTGTACATAAATTATTCATTTATAAAGTAATATATAAAAGTAATTATAGCTCTTAAATAAATGTTGTGAAGTATAATGTAGTAAAAAATAATACTCAAGTAAATTACCTAAACATTTTACATACACAGTACTGTGTTCTGAGTTTCACCACTGGGTAAAGGCCATGCAGATAAAGGAAGGAGAAAACCAGTTAATTCAAAAACAAAGCATTATAAATGTGTGAAATTTTACCAGAGCCTGGTGGAAGGTGGCCTTTTTGGTAGATTGAAAACAAAATCTGCCTCTTCACTTTCCCCGATAAATTTATTTTAAACAAATAACTGTCAAGTCAAGATTGAGTTCTCAGTGGCATTGTTGGCTTACTGCTCTAAAACCACGGAGCCCACAAGGTTGAAAAAAAAAGAAACCAGCGCACATTTTAAACTATCACTGTACATGATGCGATTTCCTTTTGACGGAAGGGAGTTGGGTTTTGCAGCCTTATGACAATATCTAAGGTAAGGCAGTTAGAGACTAGAGAATGCTGGAGTTGAGCAGCAGCTGAAGGAGCATCAATTGTAAGAAGGCACTAAAATTAATTAGGTTTAAGCACTGAAAGTATTGCAAAAGACAGTCCAATTATAAACATGAATTCAATGAGAGTGTTATCACTGAAAGAAGCATTAGAACGTACTTATAGGATCTGAGATGTACATTGAAATGTATCAATTAAAGTATGCACCAAAATAAGCTGAAGTGATCTAAAAGGAGTTCATCAGTTGATTTTTTTTCTTTATTTTCCATAAGTGGAAGTGGATTTAGAGCTGTTCTCTTCGCCAGACAAGCTTGTATTGATGTGTATTATCCAACAAAGTGGATGACTGAGAATCTTCATAGACATATTGATGTGTATTGATTATCTACAACTACATTTTTTAAATATTATTTACTGTTTGCAGCACCACTTAAAGAAGGTGTTATTAGAGTATTCTTTTTCTAATTGGTGTTTGCTTATTTTATTGTTAGAATATGACAGTTAAGCTGCATCTGTCACACATCATAAATTCAAATGAATGTTCATTTCAGTTCACAGAAAGTAAAAGGTGTGATCCTGCCTATAATAGTGAGAACACACTTTCTCTGGTTCACTCACACACACACACACACACACACACACACACACACACACACACACACACACACCATTTCTGGGTGGCGTATCTTACCCAACTAACCTTTTAGCCCCAGTATTGCCAGGCAAGAAGATGTGGGTGGAGTAGGTGTATTCTTACAGTCACACTATTAGAAATGGGGGAAATTCTCAATGGGGCACGCCCCCAACACACACACACACACACACGCACAGACACAGACTTCCCACACAAATACATATTACTATAGATCATCAGATTAGCCACCTGCACCTACAGTAAATCTCAGACAAGCATTTACAATCTCACGCTCACACCCACACACCTACACACCCTCATAACTTGGAAACGTATGAGTAAAATGCAGGAAAAACTGTGGCAATCAAGGTCAGTCTGGGCTATAATGGTTTTTTCTTTTGTTTGTCAATCAGTATAAATTCCAGCAATAAACACATTGTTAATTGCTGCGACTGATCAGAACAGCTGGGACTTGTTAAACTGCAAATTTAAAACAGCAGAGGAAAAAAAAGCTTTTCTTCTTCTTCACAAAAACATGGCAGACCGATGGTACTTACTTAAAAGTTCAGTGTGTAATATTTAGGAGGATCTATACAGTTTTCAGTCACTTGAAAAGCACGGTGACCTGGAGGGCTAAACAACAGACCAACACTGCGACTCCCCCGTAGAGATGCCACAAAAATTTGGATCACCCTTCAACTCAAGAAAAAGAAAGATATGCACACCAACTGTAAGTGTTGGGCACATCCAATCCATGTAACATTACAGCATCCGCT